GATTGAATGGTACTAAAATTGCTAAATTTAAATTACTGGATAATGAGATATCACGATTTAAACAGATTTTAGAAAATGCTGAATTGCTCGTAATCCAGTAATTTAAATTTAGCAATTTTAGTACCATTCGATCCATTTTGACGAGACAATTCAAATTGTATCAAAATCATTAAATTTCGTTCACTGTATCATGAGATATAGTAAAATTTTCCAAAATAATGCCCTTATATGTAATTATTTTACTTTTTTGAGCCCTTATTTGTAAATTCACCATATTTAATATTAAAGATGAAGCGATGCGGAAATATCGTTCTCTTCCATTTCTTAATTCCGATTTATAAAAAATTTGTATCACCTGCGAGGCATTTGAAAGACCTTTCATATTATAAAAAAATTTTTTTATAGACTTTATTAAAAAATTTGTTCTCTTTTAAGTCTTATTAGAAGTCGATAGGGTTATTTAAATTTTTAATTTGCAGTCTTTTATGTTAGATAAAAAATTAATTTATAAAATCGAAAAAATATTCAAATACGATCAAATCGTTTTTTATTTATTCAACTTCATAATAATAAGCCTTTTCAAATTACAATAACTTTTTCATCATATGATTTAAGGCATAGTCGGACGGTGATTGAAATCAGTGGCTTAACCCGTCATAGATTAAGGACATTCAAATTCAAAGCAACAAGACATAATATTTGCGTAATAGATAAAGCCACAAATAAATGTAAAGAAAAAAGAATTAATTAGTGGCGATTATTTTGTATAGCTCGAAAGTTTAAATGTTTGTTCTACAAAGCAAAAGCTTTTGTAGAATAAAAAGAGGTGGCGTTGCAAACTTACAAATTATTCCTGACAATTCAGCATCATGTCACCATAGTAATATAATTTTACAAGATATTAATAAAAAACTTTCAATTAATCTCTTACTTAGATGATATTATATAATTTAAGCTTTAAAAAACGAGCGATGTCATCATTGTATAAGAATATCTTTTTCTTTTATTTTCTGTTTTCATTAATAGTCCAAGTGACACCATTAAATATTAGATCTTTCATTCGAGATGAAGGTTGTGAAAATGTTCATTATCCACCTGAAATTTTAGCACCACTACCTTATCTCGAAAAATGTCTTTCCACTATCAAGGGATCAGCCGTTTATCCGAATGATCCTCAATATTACGATTGCATAAGAGTTGCAAATTGTCGAAATCCTTATTTTCCTGTGGTAGTAGTTTATGTTGCTGAAATTTTAGATATTCAAAAATCAATTCATTGTGCAAATTCTTTAAATATTTCGGTCGTTGCCAGATCCGGTGGTCATTCTTTTGAGGGATATGGAGATGGTGGAAAGAATGGTGCTATGGTGATTGACGTTCAAGGGTTTAATCAAATAGATATTAATACTGAAACGAAAACCGTTGTTATTGGAACTGGAAATAGATTAGGTCCTGTTTATTATAAATTATATCAAGCTGGATTCTTAATTCCAGCAGGAAGTTGTGCTAATGTTGGTATTGGTGGTCATGCCACCGGTGGTGTAAGTATTTATAATTTATCGAATAATTTTATCTTAATTTATTTGTTTAGTAATTTATTAAATAATTGGTTAGGGTTTTGGTGTCGTTGCAAGAAAGTATGGATTGGCTTCCGATAATATTATTAGCGCTGAAATGGTTATAGCAAATGGAACTTTCATATCTCCTATTAATTCTACTCATCATTCAGATCTATTTTTTGTGCTTCGAGGAGCTGGTAATGCCGGCTATGGCATAATAACCTCTCTTACCTTCAGGATTCATCCTATTCAACCAATAGTTACCTCAATTAATATCTCCTACTATTCAGAACAAGTCGAATTGGTGTTTATGTCACTTTCCAAAGTATCTAAAAATCTTAGCGAAAATTTAACTCCCTACCTTGCAGTATTGGCCGAAAGTAGTGGCTATTATACTATTTCAATTACAGCTACATATTTGGGACCAGCAGAAGAGGCTCGAATTGCTGTCAAAGAATTAATCGAATTATCAAATCCTGCATATATAAAATTCGAAGAAATGACTTGGTGGAGATCTGTCATGGAAACATTTACACAGCAGCAAACTATACACCCAGTATTTCCTCCTCAACCTTTCAAATCTACATCTTATAATATTCCGCTACCAGGTCTTTCTCGAGAAGGCATTAGATTTTTAGTAAATTTTATTAGTAATGTTGAATGCACTACAGTAGCGTTATTTGATGTATATGCGGGTGGTGGTGTTATAAATAGAATTTCAGGAAATAACTCTGCCTATATTCACAGAAACCTTCTTTTTGTATTACAATTAGAAATGAAGTTAAGTGATCGTGATAAAGAAACTCAAATTAAATGTGTAGAGAAACATTTACAATTTAGACAAGAATTTCAAGCAAAATATACTTCATATTTTAGTTATCAAGATTATATAGATAAAGACTTGCCAGATTGGGCAACAAGATATTATGGAGTTCATTTACCTAGATTAATTGAAACTAAAAAGAAATATGATCCTAATAACTTATTTAATTGGGAACAAAGTATTCCTACAAAATTACCATAATATTTATTTCAACAATAAATACAGTATATATAAATATATTTTTATTTATTCTAGTTGTTATAATTCTGATTAAACCATATTTTTCTCATATTTGTTTTATCTATTTGTTAACCACAACAAATTACTACGTATAAGTTTTGATTAATTAATTCTCTAGTAAATTATTCAAATTTTTGAGAAATTTCTATTATATATATTAATAAATTTTTTATATTTATTCTTAACTTTAAATACGACATAGTTATGCTAAACTAAGAACAGATTGTATAGCTGGGTATAGAGTTTTGAGTCACTATTTTCATATATTAAACCAGTGCGCAAAAATTGTATTCTGATGATCTTTTTATTGAACAGGACAGAAGACCGAATTTGGAACTAGAGACAAGATCGAAGAACTGAGCAATCAGGTTTTTAAGTAGGAGGGCATACCAGCTAAACCACAGTGTTGCTAAACTAGAGAAAAGAATATATGCTCTAGAAGCATGTATTAAGAGAAAGAAACCATGTAGACATCTAAAATCTGGGTGAACCAACTCTTTTGGGTTGCTAGCTAGAAGTAAGAGAGAGACTAGTAAAGAATTTGGAGAAGAAGAAAAGTTCAAATGTGAGTACTATAGTTGTATGAACCCAAATATAAGGGCAAGAAGTAAGTAATAATTATAAAAAGGTTGTAGTTTGAGATATAAATCAAGTTATAGTAGTATTCTAAAAGATAGCTTGAGACATGAACTCAGTGGCAGCAACATAACAAATGCTAGTTAAAAAAAGTTACCAAACATGCAGGTGAATAAAGTAGTTCTAGGTAGAGAGTGAAATTTACAGGTAGTACAAAATCTAGCTATAAATAGTAAGTTATACTGTAGTTAGATAAGAAATAACATGCTGGTTGTGACTAGAGTTTAAATAAGTAATTCTTTAGTTGGATTACAGGTATGGTAGCTAGTGTGGAATCTAAGATGGACTACTTAAATAAACAACTAAAAGTTGTGCATGTAGCTAGTTATACTCTTATTTGTAAAAACCAGAGAGTTTAAATAGATAATCTTCTAGTTAGATTGCAGGTATGGTAGCTAGTGTAGAATCTAGATAGATCACTTAAATAGATAACCAAAAATTATATATATAACTAGTTGTACTCTTATTATAATTATAAATACTGTTAATTATTTAATAAAAAGTTCACAGCTATAGAGGTTACTATAACAAAAAAAATAAATAAATAAATCTAAGAATTATGCTAGTTATACTAATTCTATTGCTTTTGCTATATCTACTAATTCTATTGATTCTAATATATCTATTTAATTTTCTAATTTTACTATATTACTTGATATAGTTATATATTATCTCAAACAAATATGCAATCGATCTACCAATTTAAGCTTAATATCAACAATCTATTCTTAATTGTTATAGTATAATTATAAAAAATTATGCAATTATAGAGATTAAATTTATTATGTTTAATAATAGTTTGTTTTTAAAAAAATGCAATTATAAAAAATATACCTATAGGGTGTGGTGACTTAGTGAAGTGGTGGAGTTGTCGCACCCCCAGATGGCAGGTCTAGAGTTCGAATTCCACAGATGACGTTTTTGAAAATTAGCTCTGTGATATAGTTAACGGCTATTAGACGATCGGTAGGATCTAGAAATCTGTAATCTCGGTCACACCATCTTGAATGGGAGCCTTGGCGTAATAAATCCGAGATATCAGAATAACTGAAAACCCGTTTGGCAAGTCCCGAGTTGGGAGGTAGTGTGATCTTCGACAGTACTACAGGAGGACTGAATTTGGAACCGGGAACTGAGATCGAAGAACCAAGCGATCAGGTCCTTGAGAAGGGGGGACATACCAGCCGAACCGCCAGGTCGCCAAACCGGAGGAAAAGGACATGTGCTCTGGAAGCATGTATCAAGGGAAGGAAGACCATATAGACATCTAAAGTCTAGGTGAACTAACCCTTCTGGGTAGCATGGCCAAGGTAGTCTTAGTTATACGAAAAATATCTTTAATTGTTTGGAAAAAGAAAAATTTTCAAGGTAAAGAAGAAAAGAAAAGGTAAACAAAGTTGAAGAAAAAAATATGTAGAATAACCTGTATTATACTTTAAAAAAGAGTTTAGAATCTAGATTTTGTATAAATAGCAAAAGAGACTTATATAGTTTAAAAGACTATTATTTAAAGAGTTTTAAAGCCATCCTTTTAAAATTTAGATATTATATATAATTTAATATATAAAAAAAGTTTTGTTAGAATTAAATATTAAATTGTTTTAATAAATTATTGCAAAAATAAAATTTTGTTAAAGAAAAATTTTTGTACAAGTAATTGATAGAAAGAGTTTTAATTCACAATTATATAGTCAAAAGTATATTATTTATTTATTAGTGAAAAGTTAGAAAAATAAGAGACCTTCTAAATCAATTGATTACTTATACTTTTTATTAATAGTCTTACTTTTTTTTTTTTTTTTTATATTAAGATAATCACTTAGGCTTTTGATACTTTATTAGTACTAATGAGTTTATCATTAAGTAGACTAATAACATGTTACAAAAATATTACGAAAGTACAACTAGCTATACATATAACTTTTGGTTGTTTAATTTAAGTAGTCTACTCTAAGGTTTTATACTAGCTGCTATATTTATAGCCTAACTAGAAAGCTATTTATTTAAACTCTCTGGCTTTAATCTCTATACCATGTTTTTTCTAATATATCCTTTCAGGATAATTTGCCATTAAAGACCTAAGACTTTAGTTTCTAGTTAGCCTAGTTTTTTAGAAAGATATTTATCTTTGTGAAAAACCTAACAAAATAGTATACATTTTATACATATACTCATCTTATGTTTGGTAACTTTCTATAATTAATATTTGTTGTGCTACTATCATTAGATTTATATTTCAAGCTATCTTTTCAGATACTACTATAACCCAATTTGTATTTCAAGTCACAACTTTTTTAATTAGTTCTCATTATATACTCTTTGCCCTTGCAAGGTTTACAATAACCTTGGTACCTATATTCTAACTTTTTTTTTTTTCAAATTTCTTATTGATCTCTCTCTTACTTCTAGCTAGCAATCTGAAAGAGTTAGTTTGTCCATGCTTTAAGTGCTTCATGGTCTTTCTTCTCTTGATATATACTTCTAGAACACAAGTTCTTTAGTAGCAAGCCAGCAGTTTGGCTAATATATCTCTCTACTTAAAAACCTAGTTGCTTGGTTCTCCAATCTCAGTTTCTTGTTTCAAATTTAGTCTTTTTGTATTACTATCAAAGATCACTGTTACTTCCAACTCAGAACTTTCTAAACAGATTTTGATTGTTACAGTTTCTTGGTCTTTTATATACCAAAGCTTCTATATAAACATGGTGTTATCAAGATTATAGATTCTGAGACTCAACTGATCAACTATAATCATCACCATAATACAAGCTATTTTTTGAAAACATTGTTTATGAGATTCGAACTCTAGACCTGCTATCTGGAGATATGACAACTTCACTACTTTACTAAGTTGCCACACCTCTTTAATAGGATTACTTATACTGCAAAAAATTTTAATTAATCAATTAAAAAAAAAAATTTATAAGTAAATAATAGCATGATAACTAATATACCAAATATCTAATATTTATTCAAAATATATAGAAGAATTTAGTATAGAAATAGTTAATTCAATTTAATTAAACTTACTACTTATATACCTTTGCCTAAAACTTTGTCAAAATATAATAATAGAATTATAAATATTTAAAATAATAATAACTGGCATTTTAAATAAAGTGTTCTAGAAGCTTTGCATCCAATTAAAGTTTATTTAAAGAAAAATCTATATTGTCTATATAAAGATTTTATAGAGGAACTTAATATAGATAATATTCCAATTTTGGTACTAGTTTTAATACAAATTTATAAGAAGTTTGAAGCAAATAACTTAGAGATTAGCTTTTGTATTTATAAATAGTACAACCAAATTGAATGTTTTAAGTTTTATTATATTTTAAAAAAAAGAGAAAAAGAATATAAACAAGTAAATTTTTTAGTAATTACAGAAAAAAAAAAAGAATTACTATATAATCAAAGATTTATATAAACTAGTATATAATTATAGCAAGTATAAAGAATAAAAATATATTTGTTATTATTATATTTTTTAGAAAAAAAATATAATAAATATTTGTCAAAATACAAAGGTCTAAATAATATATTTTAATTATTAAAAGTTTTTGTAATAAAAAAAAGTATTAAGAGATTTTGCAATTACAAATGCATACAACCAAATCTATATCGAGATTTCAAATATCTAACAGATAATCTAATACTAGAAAAGAATATACAATTAACTTAAACTAAAAAAATTCAAAAGTATAAATCTTGTAGATATGTAATAATTTATATAGATAGTTTTAGTAATTATAAAATTACAATTTATGATTTGTATAAAGAACTAGATATATTAGAAAATTTTATTGATAAATTAGAAAAGAAACAAATAAAGATTAATTTAAATTTATTAGCACCTGCAGAAATAATTTTTTTTTTCAGTGTTAAGATGACCTCTATGGCCGGAGGCTTTTTATTAGATAATTAACAATGTTTACAATTATGATGAGGGTACAACTAGCCACATGTACAACTTTTGGTTGTCTATTTTAAGTAGTCTACCTGAGTTCTACACTAGCCGCCATGCCTGCAATCTAACTAGGAGATTATCTATTTAAGCTCTCTGACTTTTTACAAGTGAGAGTACGACTAGCCATACCTGCAACTTTTGGTTGCCTATTTAAGTAGTCTGCCCGAGATTCCACACTAGCTGCCATACCTGCAACCCAACTAGGGGATTACCTATTTAAACTCTCTGGTCATAACCGGCCAGCTATCTCTTATCTAACCAAGGTATAACTCACTATTCATATGCTAGATTTTGTGATACCTATAGATTTCACACCCTATCTAGGACTACTTTATCCTCAAGGTAAACCTAACAG